CACTCGATCCCTTCGTCCAGATCATCAATAAAGATACTAAACAGAACTGGCCACAAAACTGAGCCCTGGGGAACACCACTGGTGACCGGCCACCAACTGGACTTAACTCCATTCACCACCACTCTCTGGGCCCAGCCAGCCAGCCAGTTTTTTACCCAGCGAAGAGTACACCCATCCAAGCCACGAGTAGCCAGTTTCTCCAGGAGAATGCCGTGGGAACCAGTGTCAAAGGCTTTATTACAGTCTCAGCAGACAACAGCCACAGCCACCGTCAATGGTCCTGAACATGAAGCATGGGCACAGACCCGCTGTGCTGATACCCTGCAGGTGCTGTAGGACAGACTGTCCCCCCAGCACTGCCTTGGGCTGAAAGGCATTTATGGCAACAGCTTTTGCTGCAGATTTTCCAGCAGTGCCCTGCTGTTACCTGTGCTCAACAACAGGCTCTTGTGTTTACACTCTTTTTCCAGAGGTAGAGACCACGTTAATTCAGCAGCTAGTAGCTTTTTACACAGCTTATGTGCTACAGTTTAAGTATATCCTACGGCACAAACGTTTTATTTTTAAGTCTCAAAACATCCTGGTTACTTGACACGCCACAGTGTCTTTAATGCACAGAAGAGCTGAACAATACTAGATTAGGTCTGGGAGCAGTTAAAAATCATAAGTATCTGAGGAGACCAGGAGTATTTTGTTAGAGTCACTTACAACAAGCTGACGCACTTCTGCCAAATAAAGCACACTGTTCATTGGATTTACCCTGTTGTGCACAGCCATTATTACTGTGGTGAGTCTATTAAACCTCTCTATTTTGTGCTTTCTGTCGCTAGAGGTGAGAAACATTTCTGTAATGAAACCAAGGAAAATTTGTTTCATTGCCAGCCTGGAACTCAGGCCAACTTTGTAGAGGTTCACAACGCTTTCAAACAAAAGTGGTCAGAAATTCCAGTAAGCTAAGCTGAGATTTTTGATGGTTTGAGATGCCGAGCAGGCTACACTTCATGGCGATGCATAAGTTTTGCTTTGTACAAGAAAAGGTTTAAGAATACCCTGCTGTCTCCCCATTCTGAACCAGGCTGCTGATCCGTCTCCAGTGGTGCCATACTCTGATGGTGTTTGCTCCCCCCTGTGGTGTGCAACTTCTCTTCCCATCTGGTACAAATTTGCAAGGGAACAAGAGGAAACTGTAGAGCGAGTAGCCCTGGGGAAGGCAGAGCACATGCGGCCAGTGGCAGCACCAGGCCTGTGACAATCCTTGGGACTGCCAGGAGACACCTGAGATGTATGGCAACTCTGAGCCAGCTGGAGAGCTTTTCTTCTGAGACTCCAGACAGAGGGGATAGAAGACCTGAGTGTGGACTGTGGACTTTATGTGTTGGGTCACAGGTGTCTTAATAATGCTGTTATAACAAGGCCTTGTCATATTCAGTTATTCTTACATGTTAAGTGCTTCCTTCTCTGAATAAAAGGCAGAGATGTGCACTTTCAGAGCTTTACTTCCTTATCTCCAAAGTTAGTGGGAAGAGACCGATCAGCTGGGTGTTATGTGAGAAATGATGCTGACCTGAATGCTGGGTTTCTGCTGCCTACCTTGTGGCTGGACAAGAATTTTCCCCTGCAGTCAAAACCCACTGATTCTAAATCCTGGGCACCTAATCAGCTCCTCTAAATAGCAAGGGAGATGTCATCACCTGCAGAGCACACACTTGATAGGGGTCTATTACAGGACAGGAATAAAAGAATAACTTCTGCTCCATGAAATTTTTAGGTATAAGCCACTTCTTAAGGAACAAAAGAGGTGTAATGCTCCAGTGGTCTATCTCAGCACTAAAACTTTATGTAAACCTTACTGTATTTTTATTGCAATACAAGGCTTCACTGACATTTAAATGCCTTGAAAAACTGGCACATATTGAATAATTTAATTTGGTAGTTGCTTTTTGAACGATAAAATATATTTGCAGTTTTTATTTGAAGTGATTTTTTATTTCATCACTTTAGTTTGTGTTATAATCTATACTTCAATATCTATATACATACACATTCAAAATAATTTTGTGTATTTGAGGGGGTGTGTGTATATATACACATCTCAAAATATTTTGAATTATCTAAGACAATATTTTCCTTTAAGCAAAATGTTGCAATTTTTGGTTTTGCACTGATTCAGAACAAAATCTGTTTGAAAACTTCAGTTCTTCGGGTGCTAAACTTCAACCCCTTCTACAGTTTTACTACTTTGCTTCCTTGGAGTGTCTAATAGTCTTTTCTTATGAACCACCAGAAACAGACCATTAACAATAATCATTTTCACCTAGAATTCAGTCTACTCAAAAAGAGAAGGAAAGAAAGGTAAAGTCCTTCTCCTTTGTTTTACCTGTATCTGTATGCGTGGTCAGAAGAAAGGAGCAGGAGAAATGTGTGTCAGGTGGCAATACACATTGCAAGACAAAGGCAAGGTTGCAGCAGCAATGCACCTTCACTGAACAGTAGATCACAACTGCATTACCCTGACTTCATATCTGAGGCGAGGGTGTTTTAACGTTCGTATAAAGCCACTAATAATTGGTTGACTAAATGATTTCACATTTTCACCACTATTATGCTTTCAGTTTTATTAAACAGCACTTACCATATATCAATGAAATATTCATTGGTCTTTCATTACGGAACGAATCATTGAAAAATCATTGCAATGAAGGTTAACTTTACTTTGGTTTCCTGAAATGACATGGTACTTGCTAGCTAATTAACAGATATTTTTATGGCCTTCATTTGGCTTGAGAAGCAAACTCAAAGAATTCAGCACAGACCCACCACAGCTGATTTGAGACTTAAGGGGGCTTTACACAAAGATGAAAGTGTGTTTCAGCTCTTCCTTCCTACCCACTCACATGGATACTGGATTTAGCCTGGTGGGAGCCCCTCACCCCCACAAACCCAAAGCAGCTGTAAGATCAATTCTGTGGCCCAGAAGAACATTTTCTACCTGCTACACATTTGAAACATAGCCCTGGCTCCCAAACCACTGACTCATGGCCTGTCCTTTGCCTTCAGAGGCACCAAAACATTTTCCCCCTCTTGGAACCACTTATTCCCAGACAGAAGTACTCAGAAGAAAATACTCACTTTCCATTGCCGCCCCAAGGTGAGGGGGCCTGTGAGGCTTTTGAAGAGTTCTGTAAGTACAAAACCACAATGTAAATAAAGGTGACGCAAATACATGAATACCGATGACACAAAGCTCAACACTCCCTGTTTTTGTGGCAAGAGCTGCAGTGCATGTAGCTGAATAGCTCTACACATCAGTCCCATCATGAAATGGCTGGTGGATGGTTGGTAGGTTCCAACCAGTAAGCTTGAAAGTCACTTGATGAAAGAGGGAATACAGTAAAGTTCCAGTAAAAGCAGATGTAGTTCACAAAGAAGTGGTTTAATTACCACTGAAACATATTCTACAAAGCAAGTTCTTCAGGGTGCAAATGACTTTTTATCTTTAGAGGGACCTGCAATCTTTTAATAAGAAACAAAAAGAATTTGGGTTGATACCTTAATGAAATTAATCCCTCCCAAGTTGCTAGGGAAGATAGCTTGGGATTCAGATAGCAGGAGAAATAAAACTTCTAGTAAGGATTTGCTTGAATGCCTTTGTTTTTATGTAACGCCTTGTGTTTTTATGTATTTTATTTGCACAAATTGACTTTCTTTAGCTTCTTACTAATTCTGCCTTTCATGTCTGTGTAGTGCAGATAAAAATCTTCCTCAGACTTCTAGGTGAAATGCATCAAAGGATGCCACTTTTGTTAAGCTTAAAAAAGTTTGATTTAAATTTTAAAAATTTATCACTTTAGTTATATTTTAGTCCAAGTTGTCTCTAGATTTCAAAACTACTTTTATGATTAAATGGTTATTTTCTGTTTTGAAATGTCAAAAATATAAATTTGAAACTTTTAGTTGGAAATTAATCAGAACCAGTTTTGTCCACAAATGGTTTCAATTTGGACAAAGTGGCATTTGTGAGGAAAAATATGAAAAAAATTCTGCCAAAACATTCCTCTCCAGCTCTGCTGTAAACAGTAGGCTGCATTTCACAGTTAAAATTGTCCAAAATTTTGAATAACAACTCTATTCAAATAGTTAATCTATTTCATTTGTATTACAGATCCTCGCTAGTGAACACAGAGAAAATTGTGCAGCAATACAAAACTAATATGTAGTTAATAGCTCCCATTCTTTTCTTTTCCCCTCCTATGCCTTTACTGCAAAAAGATCTGGAACATATAATCTGCATACACTCAAACACTACTTCTAGCAAATGAGTTACAGTGCCCATAGCACACAGAGAGTAATATTAGCTGAAACATTCAGCTTCAACTGGCTGCCTAAAACCAGCATTCCTGATTTGTCTATTTTATTATGTTTTAATTTTTTTTCTCTTATTTTCATTAAAAGACATTTTCTCTGTGTGGATGCAGTAAAATGGTCTTATGCTGGGAGTAGTAGTATGTTCTTCATTGTACCTATTTGCACAGCTAGAGAAAGTAAAGTG